TGGGAAGTCCCCTTGGATTCTATATACCAACATCTTGTCAATTATATACTCTGGAAATGCTTTCTCCCATCTTTAGGTAGTTTCTGTGTTTATTGTTTCCTTTGCGGTATAGAAAGTTTTTAGTTTGATGTGTAAAACCTCATCCAGCTGATTGACAAGTACATGAAGCAGGTGCTAGAAGAAGGAATTATGGAAAATCAGCTATGGTTTCAGAATCATGGCAGGTGTATAGAACTTCCTATTAGGATGTAATCTGACATGTATGCAAAATTGTCAAGAGGAAAGTGTTTTTAAGGTTTTCCTTAAAAACTAACTAAAAGTAAAAGGGTTGGAAATCTTGGCTTCTTTTTTCTATCTCTACCTGAATAAGAATTAAGCATGATCTAGGCCAGTTAAAATTGCCTCTCATCCCTGTCCTTAACATATTTTAGCAGATAAAGTTGGTCATAGAAGTCTAACCCATGCTAGCAACATAATTATTCCTCCTATGGTCTGTTTTACAAGGGGCTAAGTTATACAGAAAGACCCCTTACTGGGAAAATTTCTGAACTATGTGTCTTCATAAGTCACATAACTTTTTTCAGTATATTTCTGTGGTCTGAAATATTTCATATAAATTGCAATGTTGTGTCTGATTGCTTACAGATATTTCCCTAGCTCTCTTCCCCCTTTCTGTGGTAGGCTCCAGCCGCACAGGATTCCTAATCAGTCATAAAGAGAGAAGAAGTAAGCATCCACTCACAAGTTTCACTCTAACTCTGCTATCCCCTTAAGTATATTGATCCTACCGAGGTCCTGGAAAATTACTGTCTTTAATGAACTACTGGACTCCTCTGGGATGCAGAGCCTCTTAGGCCCAGATATGACAAGGGGAAATGTGAAAAGCAGTGGCATAGACTTAGGTAATGACTATGAAGCTTGTTACTTCCTGTGTCTATAGTAAATAAAGAGAAGGTCATCCTTTAGCAGGGTTTTGAAATCACCACATGTACTCTGGGTTGGAATGAGTTGTTTCCTTACAGTTCTTCCAACTTAAGAGTATCGATTGTCCAGGTTATACGATGGTACTCAGGATAAGTTTTCAGGTATGACAAAACTCTTCTTTGTTATCTATGACTCTCAAGGCTTTGTTATATTGTAGAAATATTTTGCTTCATAGACATCATTTATAATCTCTTTAGTAATCAGGGACTTCATTTAGTTACTTATTTTGAAATTATTCTCAAAGATCATAGCATTTCAGCATAATGAAGCTAAGTGAGGTTGCGTACAAGCCTATCGTTTGTTTGTTTGTTTGTTTGTTTGGGTTTTTGAGAGAGGAAGTCACTTTGTAACCCAGGGCTGCTTCACCTCATCATAAGCTCTTCCCTCAGACTCCCAAGTGATGGGATTACAATTACATATCACCATCCTCAGCTTGGATCTGTGGTTCTTAAGGCTCCTTTAATATACCTTCCTATGAGGAGCTTTCATAATCCTCAAACAGGCCTCTCACCCAAGATTATGATTAAAGTTGTCTGACAAAGCTCAGAAATCTGTATTTTTAGTGGTAATTGCTGCACATGCTCCTAAGTACAGATCACTGACCACACTACTGACATCATCAAATAAACCAGCACATAATAATATACTTAGGAGGAATAACTCACAAGATTTTAAAAGTAAATGCTTCTTTTTGTGTTTCCAATAACTTATGACATGATCATCACACTTATTATCCTATATCAATATCAGACACTCTCTGGAATGAAGCATAAATATTTTATATTTGGTCATCAATGTTAAAGAAAGATTGTACACCTGACCTAACTTTCTTATACTGTTCCTAAGTACAGAATCTTATCTCTTACATTTATCATAGTGTGAAGTGTTAGTGCTGAATTGGTTGAATAGTAAGTTTATACACTGAAAATATTGAAGAGAGTATTTATTCTAACAAACTGGGGTTTTTCTAGCTTTGACATTAAAGGAATCAGTCTCAGGCTGAAGCAAGGACAAGGAATACTCAGGAAACACTGGCCAGATCCAGCCTTCATACCAGGTGTTGTTCCTATTGCAAGATGAAGGCAGATAGTGTTGTCTTTCCTATATAGAGTTTATAATCTGGTTTAAATTCAGTTATAAACCAGTGACCAGGGGCACTGAGTGCTGTGGGATCAGTACAGGTTGCTTGGGAACATGGCAACATGGTCTGAGCAGATAGATAAGGTTTGATTGAACAAGTATCTCATAATATGCATTAAAGATGAATGAGAGACAAACCAGGCAAAGAAATCACATAGACTAGACAGTGGTAGTAATGAGAATAGCAAGTTTTTAAAACTGGAAACAGGATATTATTACTTCCAATAAAGTGTTACTGCACATTAGATTTAAAATGTCCTTGTGGGGCCACAGAAGGCTGTAGAGGTGGCAACAGATCATTTGTATACACTAAAGAATATAACTTTTTCTTAAGATAAATGACAATCTCCATGAAGCAATAATCAGCAAAGAGATAATCAAATTTCCATCTTAGAATGTGACCATGTGAATGAAGAATATTGAAGGAGAAAAGTATTACAGGATACAAACATTCACATGAACAAAATATATGCTTTGACATTACAGAAGACGTAAGATACCACATTATTCTACGAATGTGGTCTTCCAGTAAGTAATGGAGGAAGCGGCAGGAGAATGAAGTGGATGATCGATCAGATGTCCTAGACTGAAACTCAAATTGATGAATGAATGCAACAAAGTTCAAGGTTTGTGACATGATCTCAAATGCCTTTAACTGACCTATAAAAGCAGCAAAGCAGGAAGCTGAAAGGAGTGTAAATATTGAGATTTATTTGAAATCTGTTGAGCTTCAGATTCCTGTGCTATAACCAAGAAGAGATAATTGGTTAAAAATGGACTACAGGATCTATAGGTAAACAGCTACATCTGGCTTTTAATTGGCAATATGAAATATTGGAGTACATGAGTTTTCGTGGGTTGTATGTAGAATTATGGGAGGATAAGACTCAGAGATGTTTTCAGGATCATATCACATAAAATAAGAAGAGAACAGGAGCCCATCGCAGCTGTTGATGGTGATAAACCAGGCAGAGGAGAGGAAAAGCGGTGAATTTCATGTCTTAGGAACAAGTCAGAGGGGCATAAGGGATAGTTTCGGCTCCTTGCCCTCCTAGGTCAACTAAGTTCCAAAGGACTACGAGAATCTCTCAAAATGTCTTGTAACTGTGGTGAGTCACCTGTCCTCTTGATCAAGGAGGCCATGAAGACCCCACTAGATGGACTTGAACCAGTGTCCAGTCTACAAAGAAGAGGGTCAACACAGAGGAAACGTTTTCTCCACGTTCCAAGTGAAGCCAGCCATGGTTGAGGAGGACCTTTAACTTAAATTCACATAGACGGAACTGGTAAAAGAAAGGAGCCAGGGGCTCCTCCCAAGCCCATGTGACCCCTGAGGATCAGATCCTCAAATGGCCTTAAGGGTAAAAATAAATTGGTTTATCTGGGCCAATTATGGCCCAGATGGCCTTAAACACCCAAAAGGAAAGTATAACCAAAGATTCAAGGGGCCAATATAATATTTTTTGTCTTTTTTGAGACAGGGTCTCCTTGTAGCCCCAGCTATCCTGGAACTCACTGTGGAAACCAGGCTGGCCTCAAACTCACAAAGATCCTCTGCCTCCCAAATTCTGGGATTAAAGGAGTGTGCCACCATGCCCAGGGCCAATATAAATTTTAAGAGTCCATGTGTATAGCTAGAGGCTACATAACAAACAATGCCAGACAGGAGATACCTTCCCTTAAGTTTTGGTCCAGGGTGGCCCAAGAGACTCCCAGACAGTAACCCAGCATAGAACTGGAAAAACGAACAACAGGCCCCAATCTTATCTAAAGGAATATTGACAATTGATTGCTGCTAGATGAGGAACTGCTGATCCTCATAAAACAAGGAACTCTAGATAGGCTTACTAGATTCAGCAGATGGACAAGCACTGGGGAATGGCTGAGGGCACTGACAACACAGTGGACAGTAATAGAGATGACAGAATGTATGGGATCCAGTAGGGGGGAGGCTAATGGGGGGTGCCATTTGGGAAGTGAGTATATAGATGAATCAGATTGTCTGGGATGTTCTGTATGATATACACACACAAAAATCGACAAATAAAAAATGAGTTATATTTAAAGAGGAAGCATAAAAATTAACTTCATGTTAATTAGTAGAGGTGATAAACATTACCATCGAAATCTATCTGATGACTTTATATCCATACCCAGGTGCCAAGGATCCAAGTGTAACTGACTGTGACTAGTAATAATCAGATACATAGAGATTAGAGACGCATGTGCAAACATCTAAGTGCTTGTAGCATTAAAAATGAGTCTTTCAGAAGGAAACAGTATATTTTAAAATGAAATGGAGATCTTTATTAAAGGTTAAAAACTCATTCAATTTTATGTCTTACAGGGTTTATACCGAGTTCAATATTGTATAATTGTATTAATTCAACTGTGAACCTAAAAATTTACAACCACTTTGAAAGAGATGTACCTTTGCTCTGGGATTGTTATTGAATATGTTAAAACTGTAATGAAATGCTTCTTCTAAGAAAGAATAAAATAAAATTTTTAAAAATATTTAAGATGGGAATGAATGCTAAAACATGGTAAAGGGATGTAAATGCTTAGTCATTAAGATTATAGATATTAGAGCCTGGTGTGGTGGCACAAGTCTTTAATCCCAGCACTCAGGAGGCAGAGGTATATGGATCTCTGTGAGATCAAGAACAGTCTGTGATGGTCTATATCGCAACTTCCAGGTCACCTGTGGCTACATAGTGAAACCCTATCTCAAAAAAGTTATAGAGATTATAAACATTTGCAGTTTATGTATAATTATTGTGATGATTGAGATTTGGCCATTGTAGAATAGGTAACAAGTGATTTATTCGGAAGGTTGAGACCATATTATCTCTTAAAGGTAATGTACACAAAGGATGGCAGAAGGGAACCAAACAGTCATTTCAGAGTTCCTCCTCCTGGGCCTGCCCATCCAACCAGAACACCAGCGCCTGTTCTATGCCCTGTTCTTGGCCATGTACCTCACCACCATTCTGGGGAACCTTCTCATCATTGTCCTCATTGGACTGGACTCCCATCTCCACACACCCATGTATTTGTTTCTCAGTAATTTGTCCTTCTCTGACCTCTGCTTTTCCTCTGTCACAGTGCCCAAATTGCTGCAGAACTTGCAGAGCCAGGTATCATCCATTCCTTATGCAGGATGCCTGACACAAATATACTTCTTCCTGTATTTTGGAGACCTTGGGAACTTCCTGCTTGTGGCCATGGCCTATGATCGCTATGTGGCCATTTGCTTTCCTCTTCACTACACCAACATCATGAACCCCAAGCTCTGTATGTGTCTGGTGGTGCTTTCCTGGGTGCTGACCACATTCCATGCTATGTTACACACTCTTCTCATGGCCAGATTGTCTTTCTGTGCAAACAATGTGATCCCCCACTATTTCTGCGATATGTCTGCTCTGCTAAAGCTGGCTTGTTCTGACATTTATGCTAATGAGGTGGTGATATTTTTTGTTGTAAGTCTCCTTCTTGTCATTCCATTTGCACTCATTATCATGTCTTATGCACGAATTGTGTTCTCCATTCTCAAGGTACCTTCTTCTCAAGGTATCCGTAAAGCCTTCTCCACCTGTGGCTCCCACCTGTCTGTGGTAACGCTGTTTTATGGGACAGTCATTGGTCTCTATTTATGTCCATCAGCTAATAATTCTACTGTGAAGGAGACTGTCATGTCTTTGATGTACACCGTGGTCACGCCCATGCTGAACCCCTTCATCTACAGCCTGAGGAACAGAGATATAAAGGGGGCCCTAGAAAGAATATTTTGTAAAAGGAAAACTCAATTGAATCTATGATGGTAAAACTTGGAAATTTTACATAATTTCATCCCATAAATGTATTGAGGTTAACATTGGAATAGTTTGCACAATTTTTCCCACCATGGAAGCTTCTGTCCAAAGGTTGTCTTTCTCTTTCTTGCCCAGATGATCCTAGAATATTAGTGTATAGACATAGTGTTATGTTGGACCCCTGTTCCTTCCAATCTTAGATTATTCTAGGATTTTATCATTTGGCCAAGATTCCTCCTTCGATCTCTGCATTCATTTTAAATAGTGCTCTAAAATTTAACTCAATACTCAGTAACATCCAGAACCCTCAACTTCTAATCCTCCTTCTAAGATCTCCTGTATGTTTCTTCTGCACCAATTTCATTCTTTAATTCTTCATATTCTTTATTTTTTGATGCCTTTGTTGGTTTTATAACTCTTCTGATACTTACCAAATTTTTCTAAACCTCTTGTACACTAGTGTCACTTTATTTGGAATTAGCCATTGCCCAAGCATGTCCTCCTTTATTTCCACATAACCAGGGAAAGAGGCTAGAGGTAGAGATGAAGTTAATGTTTTCATTACGTTTTCCTTCTGTTTGGTATTTTCCTTTGTGAATACATATATATACATTATTATTTTATATCACCTTTTACTGACTGTAAACAGAACTCCAACACCTCCTTACGTCACCCAGTGTCATGAGGTGAACTTTAGTAACACAGAAGCCTGTCTGATTCTACAGTTTCTTTTCACTTTCACCCACTTCAAAAGGAAGGGCCTGGTCAATCACTTTAAACTCTTAGTATCACAATCATATAAACCAGGATTCCAAATGTGCCCTGTTTATTTCCTTTGTTGTCCTTTAAAGTGACAACATACAAACACTTCTTTCGTGATCTCAAATGTTCTACTGAAACCCACATTTCCAAGGAAAGCTGGTCTTCTTCCAAGGTCCCCACTATTCCATTTATCTCTCCAATGGATGTTTCTGCCTAAGGCTATAGGCAGCTCAATATTCACCACACACACAAGCATAAACTCTGTTATTCTATGAGCCTTCTTGACATTTGTCCCTGGGGTTGTTAGTTTTTGTCAACTAGACATGAAGTAGAAATTCCTGGGAAGAGAGAACTTCACTGGAGGAATTTTCTCCATTGGATTGGCCTGTAGGAGTATGTGAGGCATCTTTGTAATTGGTAAGTGATGCAGGAGAGTCCAGGTCACTATGTGTGGTACCATCCCTGAACAGGTGGGCCCGTGCTGCATAAGGAGGGTAACTGAGCAAGCCAGGGGAATCAAACCAGTAAGCAGCACTCCTCCATGGGCTCTGCTTCAGTTTCTTCCTCCAGGATCCTAGCTCCTGACATGACTTCCTTCAATGATGGATGGTAACCTGTGTGCTAAAATAAACCCTTTCTTCTAATCTCATTTTTGGTCATGATGTTTATCATAGCAACAGAAAAGAAAACTACAACAATACCATTTCTTGATTTATGATGTCACCTCTCACCCAGTTACCTGAACAGATAACTCTTCCAAAGAAATATAGCCAGTTCCTTGGCTAAAAGTCAAAATGTCCTTGGGCCTGTTAGCAACATACTCTTTTCCAAAGGCCAAAAATGGCAAAAGTATTTGGGAGCTTGTATCTAATCCTTAAAAGATTTTAGAGTTACCTCTTCAGAGGGGGAAATGTTGGAGGGGAGGGATTGGGCATGGATTTGATCAAAGCACCTTATGTACATGTATCAAATTCTCAATAAAGTTTTTGTAAAACTTTAAAAAAGTAGATAATGGTGCATATGATTTTACATTTTGCCTTTTGTATTGAATATTTTTCTGAAATATTTTATTATTCAACATATATTGTTCATGTAACACTATTTCTTGTCATAGGTAAAGTCTGAAATCTCAGTGGTTTAGTCGACCATAATTAGCAACAAGTTAGAAGGCTAATATTTAAATTGAACCACTGTCATCTTGAAAGTGCCAGTATCCATGAAAATTAGATTAAATAATTATAAAAATTACACAAATTCTCAATTAAGACATATAAATGAATAAATTAACATATGCAGGGACCTTATAAAGAATGTCTCCTTTTATCTGAAATTCCAAAGCTAACATTAAAAAATGAGAGAAGCATGCAGTTTTTGCCATTCCAGGTCTATGGCTGCCTCACTCAGAATGATTGTTTCCAACATCATCTATTTACCCACAAATTTCACATTTTTATTTCAGTTGTGTAAATGTCCCGCCTGTTCATTAGCCATTAGTTCCTTTATGGAAATGCATTTCCTGGACATTATGGACAGAACAGTAATGAACATGGATGAACAGGTATCTTGTAGTAGGATACAGAGTCCTTTGGATATATGCCCAAGAGTGGTATAGCTGGACTACATGGTAAATCTATTTCTAACCTTTTGAGGAAATGGCACACTGATTTCCATAGTGACTGCACCAGTTTGCACTCACACATCCATAACCTCAAAGTTTCATCCTACTGGCTAGTTTTCATAGTACTGGAAGATGATATGCACACTTCTAGAGGATAAAAGTAATTGTCAGTCTTATCAAGCTGTGAACCCTGTGAGCTACAATACCAACCAGCCTGGCAAAATATACCCATTGATGCAATAATGACATGAATGTCATGGGAATAACCAACAACTTTCTAGTTGTATTTAAGGCCTGAGCCACAAGATGAAACCCATACTAGCACCATTATTAGAGCTAAGTATGTGTAATTAGATAGGCTATAGGTCCTAAGTGAGAACCTGCTATTACTCTACTAAGTGGATGTAGAATTAAGGTGACTTCTGATGACATCATTTTACTCAGAAATTAGTGCGTCTTTCAACCCTCATCAGAGAAGCTTCCTTTTTCATTAGATGGTGATTATCACAGAGACCCACAAGTGATCAAGATGCAAAGGACAAAAAACTGAAAATACTCAGCTCTAAATGGAACATCTGCATTACACCTCCTCCTATAAAGGCTTAGGGATCATTCTGGAAGAGGAAAGGATAGACTTTAAGATCCAGTAAGAGTAGAAGGTTTCAAAGAACCAGCGTTTCCCAGACACACAGAGAAGTTACACATATGAACTCACAAACGTTATGACTCCATGCAGAAGACCTACACAAATTCAAGCGAGAAAAAAATGACAACAGGGAGAGGGAGGTGGGTGCAATGTCCCACTTCTAGTTGAAGAGCTATTGGCAATTGATAGCTTCTGGGAGAGGGAGAATTTCTTTAAGCTGACCACACTCCAGTGGATGGCCAAACACCCAAAGGTACATGGGTAGCATAAATTGGACTTCATGAGTTTGAAGAGAGAAATGAGGACACAAAGTTGTGTGGGCAGGAAAGGGGGTGGATCTGGGAGGATTGGCAGGAGTGGGAGCGAATATACTCAAAATAGAGTGTATGAAATTCTCAAAGAATTAAAAATGCTTTTTAGTATTTAGATCTCCCCTTTTTAAGAGATACTTTGTTTTATTTTTAATATCTTTTGAATTAACAAAAGCAATAAAGGTGTATAATGATAAACTACCATGTGATATTTTAATATGCATATACATTGTGTGATGTTTAAATCAAGTTAAACATAATTATATTATAAAAATTTATCACAGAAACCAGGATATGAAAGGGAACCATGGAGGTAAAGGAAAAGAAAGAATCTGAAAGAGAAGAACAGTAAGAAACAGGTGTTGATACGAGAGATATGGATAAAAATAAGGTTGTTTTAAGGGGGGGTTATACGAAGAGCATAGGGGATAAAGGGAAAGAAGGAGCTTAAGAAAGGTGGGACCATAGGAGAAGGGTGTAATTCAGGGATAAATGAGGAAAATGGGGGCACCTTAAATGGGAAAACCATGGTGGAAGGGTTAGACAATGTGAGAGATAAATAATGCCTAGCTACTTTTAAATGCTCCTTGCCCTCCTAGGTCAACTAGTTTCAGGGGACTATGAGCATCTCTCGAAATGTCCTGTAATTGTGGTGGGTCACCTGTCCTCTTCTTGATCAAGGAGGCCGAGGAGGCCCCACCAGTTTAACTTGAACCACTGTCCAGTCTACAAAGAGGAGGGTCAACACAGAGGAATCATTTCCTCCAGGCTTCTAAGCAAAGCCAACCATGGTCGAGCAGGACCTTTGACTTATCTTCACATAGGCAGAACTGGTAAAAGAAAGGAGCCAGGGGCTCCTCCCAAGCCCCCTGAAGAACAGATCCTCAAACGTTAAGTCATTAAAAAAATTAATTCCTTTTTAGGAGTTTGAGTGTTCTAGCCTGAATGTAAGTACACCCAAAAGGAAAGTATAACCAAAGATTAAAGTTATCAGTGTATTTCTTTAAGAGTCCATGTGTTTAGCTAAAGGCTACGTAACAAGAAACAGTGCCAGACAGGAGATACCTTCCTTTGAGTTGTTTGCCAGGGTGGCCCAAGAGACTCCCAGACAGTAACCCAGCTTAGAACTGCGAAAATGAACAGCAGACCCCAATCTTATCTAAAGGAATATTGACAACTGATTGCTGCTAGATGAGGAACAGTTGACCTTCCTAAAACAAAGACCTCTAGATAGGTCGACTAGATTCACTGGATGGTCAAGTAGTGGGTGCTGACAACACAGCGGACAGTAGCAGGGATATCAGAGTATAAGGACTCTAGTGGGTGAGGGAGGCTATGGGAGGGTGCCATCTGGGAAGTGAGTCTATAGTCGAATAAAATGGTTTGGTATATTGTGTGTGATACACACACACACACACACACACACACACAAAGAAATTAAAAAAAATGTTTTATATTTGAGGAGGAAGTATGAAAATTTACATCATGTTAATTAGTAGAGGTAATGAACATTACCATTGAAATCTACTTGATGACTTTATAGACATACACAGATGCCTAGAAGCTCAGTGCAACTGATTATGACTAGTAATAATCAGATACATACAGATTAGAGATGCATGCGCCAACATCTCAGTGTTAGTAGTACAAACAATGAATTTTTCTGCAA